CGCTCTGAGACACCTTTGGGTAGTGAAGGGTGGGGGTATAAATCCAATCTCTTCTTCTTCTTCTTGAAAAAGAGCAGTTTCTGTCAGAGCTCTCTCAGCCCCACCTACCTCACAGGGTGTCTGTTGTGGGGACAGGAAGGGAAAGGAGTTTGTAAGCCGCTCTGAGACTTTTTTGGGTAGTGAAGGGCGGGATATAAATCCAACCTCCTCCTCCTCCTCCTCCTTTAAACTATCTGGGGAAAGCATTACATAACTGCATATTGTTATCAACACCAGGGTTTTCGGAAAGGACTGCTAAATTTCAGGATCTGGCCCATTTTATTTACACCCTGCTTTGCACCGCAATGGGGACCAATGCTCCCTCTAAGCTGTGGAGACTTGTGAGCAGTGATCGATCGCCAGTTTGGTGCAGCAGTTAGGAGCACAGGCTGTAATCTGGGAGAGCCGGGTTTGATTCCCCACGCCTCCACATGCAGCTGCCGGTAAACCTTGGGTCAGTTACAAGTTCTCTCAGAGCTGTTCTCTCACAAGCAGTCCTCAAAAGAGCTCTCTCAGCCCCACCTCCCTCACAGGGTGTCTGCTGTGGGGAGGGGAAGGGTAAGGAGATTGAAAGCTGCCCTGAGACTCTTTCGGGTAATGAAGGGTGAGGTATAAATCCAATCTCCTCCTCCTCCTCCATCCATTCTCTTTTCCCAAACATCTTTGTTTAGCTCCCAGACAAGCGCATCTTTGGTTCTCAACCCTGAAGGGGGGGGGGGGAACTGTACTCCTGAGCAGTGTTCCCTCTAAATTGAGTTCAGTGTGAGCTAGCTCAGTTTTTTAGCCTCTGGCTCACACCTTTTTGTCTTAGCTCAGGAAGGATGGCTCCAGAGCAAACTAATTTCTGCAGCAGCCAAATCGCTCGCTCACAACTTTATTGCCAGGAGCTCAGCAAGTAGAATTTTTGCTCACAAGACTCCACAGCTTAGAGGCAGCATTGCTCCTGAGTATTTCAATATTTTAATTTTCCCAGGGTTTTTTAATGTTGAGAACTGATTGGCTTAACAACGGCTATCCACCCTGCCTCCATTGCGCCACACCCTGGAGCTGTCAGTCACAGCCAAGTTCCCCACCAGAGGCCATTAGGGCTCCACCTGATTTCCCTGGGCCCCTCCCCTTGGTCTGCCAGGTACTGTTGCTCCACCTTCCACCCCTCAGGGCCTGAGCTTCATGAGCGACCCAACTAATTTTTAAATCAGCATTTAATTTCGTTTATGCCGTGTGTGGATACTTGCTGGCTCGGAATTGCAGGGCTGGGCAGCAGGATGGGAAAGAATGGTGGAGGGGAAATGAAGCACCCAGAGAACGAACTTGGTTATATGGATTTGCCGGCCTCAGTTCAGGGCCAGACTGGACAGATCTACCCTTGAAAACTAAAAGCTAGCACACCCCAGAGCATCTTAAAGTGGAGGTGAATATGGCCGTTCATCACAATATTTTTAAAGGGTGTATTTGAAAAGGATGTCTTGCTTGCTTTCCAAATTTTTTTTAAATGACCCTGTGCAATAATCCCTTGTTGCAATCTCCCACGAGTGCAGTCTCAGTTTTCCGTCTCCCCCCAGCAGTTTTTCCTGCTGTTGGCAGAGGTCTTTCACATCACCTCCTGCCTGGTCCTTTTAACTGGAGATTCCGGGGATTGAACCTGGGTCCTTCTACATGTGAAGCAGAGGCTCTTCCACTGAGCCAAAACCCCTCCCCAAACACAATTGGTTTACTGGGGGCACACCAGCTTTCATGTAGCCCAGCATTCTCATCACATCCCATCAAACTGCCTTCTACTGAATCAGACCTTCAAGTCCATCAAGGTCGGTGTTGTCTACTCAGACTGGCAGCAGCTCTCCAGGGTCTCAGGCTGAGGTCTTTCATATCACCTACTGCCAGATGGTTTTTTTTTTGACTGGCGATATCGGGGATTGAACCTGGGACCTTCTGCATGCCAAGCAAATGCTCTGCCACTGAGCCACAGCCCCTCTGTTTGCTAAGAGTGGTTCTGTGGATGCTTCTGGGATGCTGGGTGGGATTCTTGGGAGCTTTCCATCCCTCACTGGCATCACATCGCATCCCCTTTTGCAGGATGAACAGGCATTCCGGAGAGCCGTCTGGGAGAAGAACTTGCAGAAGATCAAACTTCATAACTTTGAGGCTTCCTTGGGCAAACACAGCTATTGGCTGGCAATGAACCACCTGGGCGATTTGGTAACCGGCTTCCTCCTCATCTCTTTAGATTGCATGGCGCTAAAGCCTGTGAATTTCCTGCTTTGTTTAGGAGGTTGTTTAGATGGTGTTAGGGAGCAGAATATTCACAAGCAGTCCAGCTGCTCAGGAGCCAGAGCTGTTGGAAGGTTTACAGTCCAACTTCCATGGGGGAAGGGGAAGTCTGTCGGTTTGCCTGGGATCAAAAGCTTGCAGGTAGGGGGGGCAAGAGTAGTGAAAGACCTGGAAATGGTGGGCAGAGTGGAGAGGGCAGAGATTCCAAGTGGTAAGGACAGGCAGGAAAGAGGAACCTGGGGGGAGAATGAGGCAGGAAGCAGTTGCTTACTGGTAACGGTGCTGTGAAGAAACTTCATTATGCAAGGTCAGGAGGGGCTGTGCTCTATGGCAGGGATTGGGAAGATGATCAAGAGACTGGATGATACGGGGGGGATCAGGGGTCATTTCGTAGAAAAAGAGGTGCAGGAGCTCATTAGCATAACTTATTTGCATACACCACACCCCCTGACATCACCGGAAGTGTGTCAGAAGGCAACACCCACCACTCAGGCTCCACTGGACTGTTTTGGATTGCTAGCTATTGGGGGGAGCTTTGGGGAGACACAAAGGCCTTGGGCTAACCACTCTTTCTCAGCATGACCTACCTCACAAGGTTGTTGTAAAGATAACAGGGGGAAACTATGTATAGAATCATAGACTCATAGAGTTGGAAGGGACCTCCAGGGTCATCTAGTCCAACCTCCTAAACAAAGCAGGAAATTCACAAATACCTCCCGCCACCCCACACCAGTGACCACTGTTCCACGCCCAGAAGATGACAAAAAAAAAATCCAGGATCCTTGGCCAAACTGGTCCGGAGAAAATTGCTTCCTGACCCCAAAGTGGTGATCAGCGTGTAAGGAAGGGCCACGAGAACCAAGCACTGAGGCAACCCTTCCTGCCCTCCCTCTCATGATCTGCCTAAGTTCACAGAATCAGCATTGCTGTCAGAGGGCCATAGTCTAGTCTGTGTCTGAAACCCCCCCAAAGAAGGAGAACCTACCACCTCCCGAGGAAGCCTGTTCCACTGAGGAACCGCGCTGTCAGGAAGTTCTTCCTAATGTTTAGCCAAAAACCCTTCTGATTTAATTTCAACCCGTTGGTTCTGGTCCGACTTTCTGGGTGTCAGGATCCTGGTTAAATCAGTTCTGAACACCAGTCACTTTGAAGAAAGCTAACTTTATTGAGACAGTCGATAGATACCATCCTGGACACATCTATTGTTAGGACCGAAGTTGAACGAGTGAAGGTTGCAGATATAGTGGATTCAAGTAAAGGCACTAAAGATCGGGACCCAATCGCCCCACGGTATTTACCCGCCAGAATTAACAGTCATCTCCAGTGTTCCCTCTAAGCTGAGATAGTGTGAGCTAGCTCACAGTTTTTTAGCCTCCAGCTCACACATTTCTGTCCTAGCTCAGGAAGGATGGCTCCAGAGCCAATTAATTTATGCTGTAGCCAAATCGCTCGCTCACAACTTTAATGCCAGTAGCTCACAAAGTAGAATTTTTGGTCACAAGACTCCACAGCTTAGAGGAAGCATTGGTCATCATCCCTCCCCCCCCACTAAGCACTTACTCTTCTCAGAGCATCCCTCTCACCAGAATTCACGGTTGCCTACCCCCCCATAGGAGCTGCGGTGGCTCAAGTGGTTAAGACGCTGAACTGCAGGCTGTGGAAGGTCAGTAGTTCAGCAGTTCGAGACCCGAGTGTGCCGCATGACGGAATGAGCTCCCGTCTCTAGTTCCAGCTCCTGCCAACCTAGCAGTTCGAAAGCAAGAAATTGCAAGTAGATAAATAGGTACCGCTTCGGTGGGAAGGTAACAGCGTTCCGTGCGCCTTGGTGTTTAGTCATGCCGGCCACATGACCACGGAAACGTCTTCGGACAGCGCTGGATCTTCGGCTTGGAAATGGAGATGAGCACCGCAACCCTAGAGTCGGATTCGACTGGCTTTCGAGCAAGGGAACCCTTTACCTTTTTACCCCCCCCATAGGCACGTAGCCTCTACATAGCAAGGAAAACAGGATCATAGACATTTGAGAAGCCAGGACATTTGGCATCGCTATGGTGACAAGCCCCGGGGAGAGAGAGGAGCCTCCTCTCTCAATGGCAGGCAAGCTGTTAAATGCAAAATGCACAGGGAACCTGACCCTGGGGTAACAAAAAACAACCGCCCTAAGCTCCTTGGAAGACTGGTGAAGGCCCCGTTCACACGCCGAATTTGCTGCGGGAGAGCCACGGATGCTGGGCGCGATCACACCGCAACATCTGGCAAGCGTAGCGCACCCGTGGCCAACCTGTGGCGTGCCGCCGAAGCTGCGCGGTTAAAAAGTATCTCAACAAATATACTAGCAAATGGTTTGCCACGGGCTGCCGACGGAATCGTTCCGTGTGATCACGCCGGTGCGCGGCTTTCCCCCTGGCTGTCCTCCTTGACACGCATGCACTAACGGATGAAACCGTGGTTTGCTGCCGTCGCATCTGATCACGTTCTGGCAGGTCTAATTGCGCCGGCGCAAAGAGCAATGCCTCCCCTCCCACGCGTTATCTGGACCGTGTGACCGGGGTCGAAGTATCTTATTAAAGAATACAGGTATTGTGATTTTGGGGCAAACTGGAGCTTTTCTTCCTGATCCCTTGGTCCAGATCTTTGATCTAATCCCCCAGCTGCAGGGATTTCTCAATAGTGAGGGAGACAGGCCCACTACCCGCCCCCAGGGGCATTTCCCCCATTGCCCACACTGGAGGCTGCAGTTTCAGCACTGGAGACTGGCTCTGGGTCTGAGTTCAAATGCTTAAACCTTGCAAGCGGTTTTATAAAATGTGTAACGAGCTCAGCATTTCACCAGAGACAAAATCAGGCAAGGCTTCAGTGAGTTTCACGTATATTCTCACCCAGGGCTTTTTTTGTAGAAAAAGCCCAGCAGGAACTCATTAGCATAATAGGCCACACCCAACAGCAGAAACTCATTAGCATATTAGGCCACAACCCTGACATCACAGCTCATTAGCATATTAGGCCACACCCCCATGTTACCAGAAGTGTGGTCATCCAGCCACGCCCACCTTTTGCTTCTTATTTTGTTGACCTTGTTTGTGGTCAAAACCCAGGGCTTTTTTTTGTAGCAGGAACTCCTTTGCATGTTAGGCCACACACCCCTAATGTAGCCAATCCTAATGAGTTTCTGCTCTTGGGTGTGGCCTATTATGCTAATGAGTTCCTGCTGGGCGTGGCCAACTTGGGAGCCAGCCAGAACGCTGTCCCTGTGCGTTCCTGCCCAAAAATAGCCCTGTTCTCACTACAGCCTTGTTAGGTAGGCCCGTGTTGTGACCAATATGTTGTGGCCAGTGAGGAAATGAGGGATATCGACCATCTTGAACGTTAAATGAATTTTTAAATTGACTGTTTAATATGTACTGCACAGCACCATTTTAGTTGTATTTATCGAAGTTTTAATGTATTCCATGTTTTATTCGGCTTGTCCGCTTGTTAGCCGCCCTGGGCCGTATGGGTAGGGCGGGATACAAATCCCAAAAAATAAAATAAATAAAAATAAATAAATATTGAAAACAGAGGGGAAGGGGCTGAGGTCAAAGGAACCAGGGGGTGGGGGGAGTTGCTGACACCTCTAAGTTGTGAGTTCCCAGCTGCTCTGAGGTTTGAGTGGGCGGGGCCCTTCCTAGGACCTGCCGCTGCTTCTTGTTCACCTGCAGAAGGTGAGATCTGATAAGTCCTTTTCTCCCCAGACTGATGAGGAGTTTAACCTGATGCTGAATGGCTTCCATCCTGACCCAGTGGAGCCCCATGGTGGGAACCTGGCCTTGTTCCAAGAATCGGCCTCTCTGAAGACCCCCAAAGAAATAGACTGGCGCACAAAAGGTCACGTCACTCCAGTGAAAAATCAGGTGAGAAAAGCCTAAAGTAAAGGTAAAGGTTCCCTTGCTCGAAAGCCAGTCGAATCCAACTCCAGGGTTGCGGTGCTCATCTCTGTTTCCAAGCCGAAGAGCCAGCGCTGTCCAAAGATGTTTCTGTGGTCATGTGGCCGGCATGACTAAACACCAAGGCGCACGGAAGGCTGTTACCTTCCCACCGAAGTGGTCCCTATTTATCTACTTGCAATTTCTTGCTTTCGAACTGCTAGGTTGGCAGGAGCTGGAACTAGAGACGGGTGCTCACTCCGTCATGCGGCACCCAGGTCTCGAACTGCTGAACTACTGACCTTCCACAGCCTGCAGTTCAGCGTCTTAACCACTTGAGCCACCGCAGCTCCATGAGAAAAGCCTACTAGCTCTTTATTAGGTGTATGGTTCATTTTGGTATGTTGTTATATGTTATAAGTTCATGTATTATAATGTTGATATGTAATGGAAAATGTTTTTAAAACTTAATACAATTGTTAATAATAAAAAAGAAAAGCCTCCATTCTCAGAGGCAGTGTATCTCTGAATTCCAGCTTCTTGTCACCTGTGCTGGCATGGGGGTTTGGGAGTTCATTCTGTGTCTTAGTAATTGCTATTGCATTCTTGTCTCTGCTGTTCTGCCTGTGCCGCAATGCTTATCTCTACAGATGTGCAGGAGGATGTTATGTTGAAGGTTGTATTGTCTGGAAGTACTCCTATGTACCGTGAGAGACTACTGCTTCCCAGCTATCGCCCCCTAATGGTTTCCTAGCTGGTCCCGCGTGCGGGAGGGTAGCTAATTGGCCCATGCCATGGGGGGGTGCATACAAATGCCCTATATCCTATTATGCTCAATGGGTTGCCACCATTCTTAACAGTGCCTGTGTTACTGCATCTATAGCTTTGCAATAAAAGTATGACCGTTCTTGAATGTGTGTACTTTGTTGTAAGCTGTGGGTTCTGACACTTCTGGGGCAGGGGCAACCTTTGGCCCCTGCTTGTGGGCAGCTGACTGACTACTGTGTGAAACTGGAAACTGAATCAGATGGGCCGTAGGCCTGATCCGGTGGGGATCTTTTTGTTCCCACAGGGCCACTGCGGGGCATGTTGGGCCTTCAGCGCCACCGGAGCTCTGGAAGCTTTGCTGTTCAATAAGACAAGCCGGCTGGTCTCACTCAGCGAACAGAACCTCATTGACTGCTCCGGGAAGCTGGGGAACCACGGCTGCCATGGGGGGTACATCACGCGGGCCTTTGAGTACGTGCGGGATAACAGGGGCATAAACTCAGAGGACGCCTACCCTTATTTGGAGAAGGTAACCCAATGCATACGCCGGACATGTCCCGCTAAGCTTGCCAACCCCCAGGTGGTACCTAGAGATCTCCCGCTATTACAATCGATCTCTAAGATGGCCAAGATCAGAGCCCCTGGAGAAAATGTAGGGTTGCCAGGTCTCTGGCTGCCGGCGGGGGGGTGGGGGTGGTCCCTCCATTGGTCCGTGTTGAAGAAGAAGAAGAGATTGGATTTATACCCCGCCCTTCACTACCCAAAGGAGTCTCAAAGCGGCTTACACACTCCTTTCCCTTCCCCTCCCCACAACAGACACCCTGTGAGGTAGGTGGGGCTGAGAGAGCTGACAGAAACTACTCTTTTTCAAGAACAGCTGTGCCAGAACTTGCCCAAGGTCATCCAGCAGCTGCAAGTGGAGGAGTGGGGAATCAAACCCGGTTCTCCCAGATTAGAGTCCACGCACTTAACCACTACACCAAACTGGTAGATGTCTTTGCTGTGTGCGCAAAGCGTATGCGCTGTGATGACGTTACTTGGAAGTGGTGTCATTGCGCAGGGCATATTGCGGGGGATGTTCTATCATTTAAGGAAAAACTCTATAAACCATAGAGTTTTTCCTCGAATGATCGTGTCCCCCTGCAACGTGCTCTGGGTGATGACATCATCTCTGGGTGACACCATTGTGCTGGGCACGTCGGTGCAGATGCAGCACTCTGGGGGCGGGGTTCCCCCCCCCCCGCTGGGCAGATTGGGGCCAGCAGATCGGGGGCCCAAGAGCGGGCAACCCCCCGCCCCCGTTGGGGGAATGGGAACCCTAAGATGGCTGCTTTGGAGGGTGGACTCTGTGACAGTGTACCCTGCTCAAGTCCCTCCCCTTCCCAAGCCCTGCCCTCCCTAGGCTCCACCCCCACCCTGATTTCCAGTTATTTCCCAACCCAGTGCACAGCCCTGCTGCAGAAGCATATCAAGCTCCTGTGGCACCATCTTGAGGATCGCCACTTCTTGTTTTTCAAGCGACTAGTCCACATCATTGTGTGTCCCTCAAGAGGACAGAAAGGAGAAAAGGAGAGGGGTGCAAATCTGGCCCAGAACCACCAATGCCCTGAAATCTTCTGGCAGGTGTAGTGGCTTATGACATTACTCTGTTGTAGCACAGTGGCTGAGACGGGGAGCCGTGAATCAGGTTCAGATCCCTCTTTTGCTGTGCTCATCAGGACCCGGCTAGTCTGAGCCTCAGCCCCCCTTCCCCAGTAGAATATTAGCACTGACCTGCCTTACAGGACTGTTGTAAATCCCTCTCCACTTCCCTTCCTGCAGTAAGGGGATATTAACAGTGGAAGGTTGTCACACCATCTTTTTGAGAACACCATGTAAATCTTGAGGATTACGATGATCTCAAATCAAAACACATCTTTGCTCGAGTGAATGTGCTGGATAGGAAAGGCTTCCACGCAAGTGACCAGAATGAATCCTTACCTTCTCTCTCCCCTCCCCACCCCAATGTACTCCCAATAGGGGCCCTGATCTAGGCACCATCATCTGTGCTAGTTAGTCTCTCTCCTCGCAGAGGCAGGGCTTTTTTGGTGGTGGCTGCTTCCTGTCGCAAAATAGCCTTCCCTTGTTACCCTGCATTGAATTGAAATGACTTATTTTCATTCGGCAAGGCATTCAGGAGGCTGAGTCTATTCCACTTAGGGATGCCAGCCTCCAGGTAGGGCCTGGGAATCACCTAGAATTACAGCTCACCTTCAGACTACAGAGATCAGTTTTCCCTGGAGAAAATGGATGCTTTGGAGGGTGGGCTGTATGTCACTGTGCCCCACTGAGGTCCTTGTTCTCCCCGGGCTCCATCCCCAAGTCTCCAGGAGTTTCTTAACCTAGGTCAGGCAATCCTGCCTTCCCCTCCCCTCCGAGGGGGAACCCGGCAACTCTAATTCCACTACTGGTGGCACTTTCCTCCAGTGCACAGGGCCTTTCTTCCATCACAAGTTCCTTTGAACCCCTTGCATCATGGGAGGGCTCCTTGCTCTAGAGGGAACTGCTACTGCTACTGGAACAGATACACAGGATCCAAGCCAGGAACAGATGATGGGGGCAGTGTTCCCTCTAAGCTGAGTTAGTGTGAGCTAGCTCACAGTTTTTTAGCCTCCGGCTCGCACATTTTTCTCCTAGCTCAGGAAGGATGGGCTCCAGAGCGAACTCATTTATGCAGTAGCCAAATCGTTCAGACAGGGGTGGGCATGCTTCTAACACACCAGCAAAAAAATTTGATCACAGAAAAATGTTCCCTGACTGCTTTTATGGGGGGGGGGGGGGGGGGGGGGTGTCCCTGGTTTGTTTTGCTGTTCTTGTTTTTTTCAAAAAAGAAAGATTTATGGGAATTCTAAACAATTATTGTTTCTCACCTGCAAGTATTCCTGTCAGTTTTTATGCTCTCTTCGAGCCAAAAAAACCCCCACCATAAAATTAAGTGCACAGAAATCTAAACATAAAACCCTCATTTGTCCTTTCCATGCAGGAGGGATTCAGTTGTCATTACAACCCCCAAGAACGAGCTGCTAACTGCACTTCCCTGGTGGCAGTTCAACGGGGGAGCGAAGCAGCCCTGGAGCAAGCGGTGGCCACAGTCGGCCCAGTTTCGGTTGCTGTGGATGCCCATAACTTCCCTTTCCATTTCTACAAGTCTGGTAAGGTACCTCTGGGGAGGAACAGTTTAAGAAGTCCTCAGCAAGATTATCTCCATGGGGAAACCTTCCCGCGTGCACACAAAAGCTTATACCCAGAATAAAACTTTGTTGGTCTTAAAGGTGCCACTGGACTCAAACTTAGTTTTTTATTTATAAGCAGTCCTAACTTAGATTTTAAATTGTGGTCTGTTAGGTGTTTTTTTAAATCATTATTGTTTTAGATTATAAGCCACCTCGAGTTCTGCAATGCAGAAAGGCGTCTAATAAACCAGGTGTCAGACTCCTGGGCAAGTTATTCTCAACAACACTCTCTTTGGCAGTGATATGCTTATTGAGTTATAAGCAGGGGTCATTTCGTAGAAAAGGAGGTGCAGGAGCTCATTAGCATAACTCATTAGCATAACTTATTCGCATATGCCACACCCCCTGATATCACCGGAAGTGTGTCAGAAGGCAACACCCACCGCTCAGGCTCCACTGGACTGTTTTGGATTCCTAGCTATTGGGGGGGGGAACGTGCAGATCTGTCCTCACAGAGGAGGGAGAGCTTCTACCTGAATAAAACCTGGTCTTAAAGGTGCCACTGGACTGTTTTGGGCCGGGGGGGGGCTCTGCAAATTACTTGGCTGCTTCTTGCTCTGACTGAGGGCTGCTGGGAGCAGGGGGTGTGGCTTGTTGCATGTGCCCTGGGCTCTTTACTGCCGGAGCTCCGCTCCTGTGCACTTCTGCAGGAAATGACCCCTGGTTATAAGCAAGTTCCAGGTCTTAACAGTACTGTGTCAGTTCTAGAGGTTTTGGTTGGTACAATCATAGATAAAGGTAATTCAAATGTGACTCCTCCTAAGGCCCACTCATACGTCACATACACTCCGCCTAGCCCCCAGCATCTCTACCCCCTTTCACCTGGGAAATATACGATCCCATTATCTACAAAGCAAGCTGGCACCGAAAGTCTCAAGGACATTCCTCTGTGAATGGATGGAAGGCTTCTTTGGAAGATTTACGTCACACACTCCACACACACACCCCAAGGAATTCCTCTCCTCCAGCATCTATGGCAAACTGAGCAGAGTGAGGTTTGACACCAGGTGGTGTTCTCTGCACAGTGGCAGATCCTGAAATACCTCTGGACCTTAAGAGTTCCCTAAGTAGGGTTGCCAAGTCCATCTTCCGCCCCCAGCGGGGGACTTTGGGGTGTTCCTGGAGGGGGCGGGGCATCACCGATGTGATGATATCACGTTGGGGACGTCCACCCCGCACCCCGCCCGCCAGTGTGCCCGATCTCCAGAAACGCCAGTTTTCTGCACTTAAAGGAGACGGCGTTTCCCTTTTAAGCACACGGAGCCGGCGTTTCCCCTTTAAGAGCAAAGAGCCGCCGTTTCCCTTTTAAGTGCATGGAGCTGGCATTTCCCTGCAAGCCTGATCTCAAGCGGAGATCGGGCTTGGGAGGAAACGCGGGTTCCATGAACTTAAAGGCAGCCACCCCTCTCTCTCTCTCAAGAGAGAAGGGAGGGGGTGGCTGTGGGTGTTGGGGGCGGGCCTATGCGCACACCGCCAATGCTTAAAAAAAATGGCAGGTGAAAAGCGGAAGCCTCGGGCAGCTTTGGAGCAGGGAGGGGGCTTAAACCGGAAGTGGCTCGACACCGGAGGAGCAGTCACACAGGGGGGAAATGTGGCTGGAAACGGAGAATCAGGAAAACACCACTTGGGGACCTGGTAACAAAATACTCTGGTTTAAAGGGGGTTTGAGCCGGAAAGCGACAGCTGGGGATGGGAGGCAGATGTTGGCTGTGTGATCGCACGTATAAAATCCGTTTCTGAACTGGCACGACACCAGATCAAATGGCGCGTCTGAACGCACCCAGTCTGTGCAAGTCAGCTGCTCCCCTTTTCGTTACCCGATGATTCCGTCACTGGATGGTCCTCGGCTGGAGATAAACAGAAACACTACAGATTTTGATCTGTGAAAGCAATCCAAAACAGCAGTGGAGGCAGCGAGAGGATCTCTGGAGTGCTTTGAACTGGGATGGCTATTTCATGTACCCCTGTGTTGGCCATAGGGTTGCCAATCTCCAGGTAAGGCCTGGAGATCTCCTGGAATTACAACTGGTCACTCCCTTCCCCAAATCCCACTCCCCACAGGCTCCACCTCCAACATATCCAGGAATTTCCCAACCCAGAGCTGGCGACCCTAGTTGGCCCTCAATGCAGCAATCCCCCAAAGCAGATGTATTCACTTGGACTTTCAAGATCGAACCCTCGGTGACGGAGTTGAGTCATTTCTTGCTGTCTGGGAAAGGTCTGGGGTGGTCATATTGCTAAGAGGGTGTTAACAAGGAGTTCATATTATTCTTTTTGCTGTCCCCAAACCTCTCCTTTTGTCCAGGGATATTTTCCAGCATCTTCTGCAGCGATGTTGTGAACCACGCCATGTTGGCAGTTGGGTACGGTATCTCCCAGGAGGACGGGAAGGAGTACTGGATCCTGAAGAACAGGTGATGACAAGGGACGGGCGCTGGGATGGTGGCGGCAGGAAGCCCTAAGGGGAAAAGACGGGCGGGACACAGGTCGAATCTGCATTTGCATTTTAAAATCAGTTTCGTGCTGCTGTGACGCCGTCTTTCTCTATGCTTGTTTGAATGTTGTTTGGAGAAGATTCTTTTAAAGCAGTGCGGAGGCGCAGTGACAGTGGAGCCGCCCCGAAAGGACGATAAACATATGCGGACGTGCAAAAGTATGCTAGCACTGTTGAGGTGTGAAAACGACACCAAATGTAGACAGCTTTTTTAAAGACGGAGTCAAAAGGCTGGGACACCGGTGGGAAAGACAAATGCAGATTCAGCCACAGCCTTTGTGGGCAGCATAGCCACATGCCAGGGGAAGGGGGCACCTGCTTTGCTTTTCTGTTGTTCTTTGGCACCAACAGTACACGTGGTCAAAACTGGTATTGCAGCTACCAGCTCAGCAAGGCTGCTCTTGGGCTATCTGCTTTGGCAGTTTGGTTACACATCTGGTTGGAACTAAGGGAGCCAGTTTGGTGTAATTGTTAGGAGCGTGAACTCTAATCTGGGAGAACTGGGTTTGATTCCCCACTCCTCCACATGCAGCTGCTGGTGTGACCTTGGGTCAGTCACAAGTTCTCTCAGAGCTGTTCTCTCAAGGGCAAGTCCTCGCGAGAGCTCTGTCAGCCCCACCTACCTCACAGGGTGTCTGCTGTGGGGAGGGAACGGGAAAGGAGATTGTAAGCTCCTTCAGGTAATGAAGGGAGGGGTATAAATCCAACCTCTTCTCTTCCCTTCTTCTAAACTCCTTCCAGCTCCAAGGACAGATTCCCAGTGTTCCTAAAACACAGTGCTTTACCATCCTCTTCAGAAACATACAACCGGAAGGCGTCCCAAGGGTCATCTAGTCCAACCCCTGCACAATGCAGGGGATTCACAGCTGCCTTCTCCACCCCTCTCGGGTTATGTCAGACATATCTTCCTGCATATTTAAACTACAGGTTTTTATGCCAGACGTAGTCATGACCGCAGGGCCACTGTGTTCATGAGGGCCCAGTCCTGGTTGGGATCACCTCAGTGTGGGGGAGGAGAGGCTCTTGCCTCCCCCCCAGCTGTTTTTCTTACCTGAAACCCCAGCACTATTTTGGATTGGAAGTACAGTTGTGGGGAGAAAGGTAGGAGCCCCTTCCCCCACCCCATGGTGGTCCTGACCAGAATCGGGCCTCTGTGGTGCTGTTGAAAGAGCTCTCTGGCGAGGATTCACTGCTTCAAAATGGCCGTGCGTCCCCAGAGGCAGATCTGGGAACGCCGCCATGTCTAGTTTGGTGTTCAGACTAGGACTATGGGAGACCTGGGTTCAAGAAGAAGAAGAGAAGAGATTGGATTTATACCCCGCCCTTCACTACCCGAAGGTGTCTCAGAGCGGCTTACAAACTCCTTTCCCTTCCCCTCCCCACAACAGACACCCTGTGAGGTGGGTGGGGCTGAGAGAGCTCTGACAGAAACTGCTCTTTTTCAAGAACGGCTCTGACAAAACTATGGCTTGCCTAAGGTCATCCAGCAACTGCAAGTGGAGGGGTGGGGAATCAAACCCGGTTCTCCCAGATTAGAGTCCGTGCACTTAACCACTACACCAAACTGGCTCTTCAAGTCATTAGGCAACCATGAAATTTTCTCTGAGTATCTTGGGTCCAGTCAGTGTCGCCTAGCTTACCCTGCAGGGCTTTTGTGAAGGAGGAGGGAGAACCGTAGATGTTGCTCTGAACTCTTTTGAGGAAGGGTGGAATGAACATGATGGTAGGGTTTTTATCAACCAGTAGGTGGCAGCAGTCACCATAATAATATTATTTATTTATCATATTTGTTTATCAAATTTATCTAAGGACGCCTGTGTCACTTAACACCTTCTGTAGGAAAGAAAGTTTCTGTCCTGAATTAAACCCAAATCCAGTCAAATGTGTTAATGTACTCTGTTTGCAGACTCGCCGTCAACGGCTGCCATGGGGAACCCAAACAATTCCTCCTGGTTCTGGTTCTGATTAAGCCCAATAGTCTATCAGCTGCCAAAGCTCTGGGCTGTTGAGGAACTGGTAGTGTTGCCAGCTCTGAGTCTGGAAATGCTTGGAGATCTTGGGAGTAGAGCCTGGGGAGGTTGGGGTATAATTCCATAGAATTTCAGTGGTGTGGTGGTTAAGTGTGCGGACTCTAATCTGGGAGAACCAGGTTTGATTCCTTGCAGCTGCTGGTGTGACCTTGGGTCAGTCACAAGTTCTTTCAGAGCTGTTCTCTCAAGAGCGGTCTTGAAAGATCTCTTTCAGCCCCACCTCCCTCACGGGGTGTCTGTGGTGGGGAGGGGGAGGGAAAGGAGTTTGTAAGCCCCTCTGAGACTCCTTTGGGTAGTCAAGGGCAGGGTATAAATCCAATCTCCTCTCTTCTCTTCTTCTTCAGTATTTTCACTCACTGCTCAGGAGAAAAACTGGGGAAACGCCAGACTTTTAAATGCCCTGAAAGAGGCTTACCACCCACCTACCCCCTTTTCTTAGTTGTCTTCTTTGCAACTGCTGGATGACCTTGGGCAAGCCATAGTTCTATCAGAGCTGTTCTTGAAAGAGCAGTTTCTGTCAGAGCTCTCTCAGCCCCACCTACCTCACCAGGTGCCTGTTGTGGGGAAGGGAAAGGAGTTTGTAAGCCACTTTGAGACTCCAAGTGAAGGGCAGGGTATAAAGCCAATCACCTCCTCCTAAACAGCCAGGTTCTCCACAGGAGCTGATGTCTGTCGTCTAGAGTTCAGTTGTAATCGTGGGAGATCTCCATGCCCCACCTGAGGGTTAGCAGCCCTAGCCCTGGCTCTTTCAGATCTGTTCTACTAACGCAGTTGGGCTGTAGGAAGAAGCCGATGTTTCCTAGACTATAGTTCAAGGCTTTGTAGCCCCTGGTGAGAAGACTCTCCCTAGAAGGAAGGCCATATCTTGACACTAGACCACAGTTTCAGTTCACTCCACATTGTCTCTATTGAAAGGCTCTCAGGTAACAGGTGATGGAACATAAGAACATAAGAGAAGCCAATGCTGGATCAGGCCAATGGCCCATCCAGTCCAACACTCTAGGTCACACGGTGGCCAAAAATACCAGGTGCCATCAGGAGGTTCACATTGGGGCCAGGACACTAGAATCCCTCCCACTGTTGCCACCCCCCCCCCAAGCACCAAGAATACAGAGCATCACTTGCCCCAGACCGAGAGTTCCTGTCTATACCTTGTGGCCACTGATGGACCCCTGCTCCATATGTTTATCTTGAAGCCATCCATGCTTGTAGCTGCCACCACCTCCTGAGGCAGTGAATTCCATGTGTTAATCACTCCTTGGGTGAAGAAGAAGGACTTCCTTTTACCTGTTCTAACCCAAGCCATGAAATTAAAAGACACCAGCTCCTTGGGAGGAAAGCGATGGCGAACCTCAACAGCATGGTAAAAAGTAGAGACATCACCCTGCCAACAAAAGTCCGCATGGTCAAAGCAATGGTATTCCCAGTAGTACTGTATGGCTGCGAGAGTTGGACTATAAGGAAGGCCGAGCACCGAAGAATAGATTCTTTTGAACTATGGTGCTGGAGAAGACTCTTGAGAGTCCCTTGGACTGCAAGAAGATCAAATCAGTCAATCCTCAAATAAATCAAGCCTGACTGTTCCCTGGAAGGCCAGATAATGAAACTGAAGCTCAAATACTTTGGCCACCCAATGAGAAGGGAGCACTCTCTGGAGAAGACCCTGATGCTGGGAAAGACTGAAGGTCAAAGAAGACGGGGACGGCAAAGGATGAGATGGTTAGACAGTGTCATAGTTGCAACGAACATGAAATTGAGCAAACTTCAGAGGACGGCGGAAGACAGGAGGGCCTGGCGTGATTTTGTCCATGGGGTCGCGAAGAGTCGGACTCGACTGTGCGACTGAACAACAAAAAACCCAACACTGAGCGTCCACAAGTTCTTCTGTTGTGAGAAAGGGAGAAAAGCACTTCTTTCTCTACCTGCTCTGTCCCAGGCATAATCTTGTAAACCTCGATCATGTCACCCCTCAGCCGTCGTTTATCAAGCCTGAGACTTTAGAGAGTGGGATGCAGCATAGAGACCCCCCCCCCCCAAGCGGGAAGAACAGCTGTCCTTTTAAATTTTATTTGCTGTCAAGTCACAGCTGACTTGTGTCGACCCTGTGGGGTTTTCAAGGCAAGAGGCGTTCAGAGGTGGTTTGCCATTCCCAGGCTCCAAGCAGCAACCCTGGGCTTCCTGGGTGACTTCCCATGCAGAGACTGACCAGGGCTGACTGTTAAGTCGCTCACTTAACAAAGTAGTCGGAGAGTGATTCAGCAACGATTCAGCTTTATCCAACAACTCGTAACACAACTCCAACACGGATCAACTCTGATAGCCAGAACAGCTTTTACATTGAAGCTGTTCCACTTTTAAACTCTCCCGGCTAATATAGCCACGCCCTACTATACAATACCAACCAATAAGATTGTATACATAAAGTCCAATCACAGACGTTCCCGCTCAGGGAGCTTGATGGCATGTGATTGGTTGGTTCTTCCTGGGCTACCAATAGGATTGGAGGGATTAGGATCCTAGCCCAGGATGAAGCTTGACATGGAACTTCAATTAGGTGTTTCACATACAGTCATGTATTACAATGGCAGCTATTGAATACATCACACTGACCCTGCTTAACTTCCAAGATCTGATGAGATCCGGCTAGCCTGGGATATCCAGGTCAGGGCTAAAATAACCTGCTGTGGTATATGTAAGGCAGCAAGTTCTGCTCTTTAGCCAGGGGGATCATAGCTCAGCGATGGAGCACCTCATATGCGGAAGTCCCCAAGTTCAGTCCCCGGCCCGGCATCTCCGTTTAAAGCAGGGGTGTCCAACTCATTTGTTACAAGGGCTAGATCTGACATAAATGGGACTCTGTGGGGCCAGGCCATGCATGTCATTAAATGTAATGCCAGGTACCAGAGATATAAACTTTATAAAAGATACAAACACAACTAGTTTGGTGTAGTGGTGCAGTGGTTAAGTGCACGGACTCTAATCTCGGAGAACCAGGTTTGATTCCCCCACTCCTCCACTTGCACCTGGAGCCATAGTCCTGGCACAGCTGTTCTTGAAAAAGAGCAGTTTCTGTCAAGAGCTCTCTCAGCCCCACCTGCCTCACAGGGTGTCTGTTGAGGGGAGGGGAAGGGAAAGGAGTTTGTAAGCCGCTCTGAGACTCCCTTGGGTAGTGAAGGGCGGGGTATAAATCCAATCTCTTATCTTCTTTTTCTATATATTTACTCAAAATACAAATATGCTTAAAACTCTTGCGATATTTTGTTCATTTAACAGTCTTTAACAACGGACCCCTCCCTAACCCCCCCCCCCACAAAAAAAGATGCCTGCATAAAATAGAAAGGTGGGGGAACAGTGGGATTTGGTAATGCAATTTTAAAAATAAAACATCAAGAAAAAGCACAAGGATCACAGCAGAAACTAAAATATAAACTAAAAATATAAAACGTTCTGAGCCTAGGAACAGAAAGTGGCTGGGCATTGCAAGCTTCCTCCCCCCCCCCATACGAAGAGTGGCAGTGACTCTCCACTGTAATGTCCCCCTTTGGCTGTGGGTTCACAGGTTAGAGTACTCACTCAAGCACCCATTCTCAGGTCATTCAGCAGAGACAAGCTGGCTCAAAACATCAACCATTTATTTACAAGACGACAACTCCAACCAGCAACAACTTCAGCTGGCGTACGAATACTGGAAACTGAAACTATTTGAGCTCCACTCCATTGAAATACATTGCAGCACAGACAAAGTTGCAAAGAAAATGCGGAATGGATTTTCCATTAAGGTCTCCGGCCCTAGATAAAACTACTCTGGGACTGGAATGACAGTCCCCAGAGTGGAATGACGGTCCCTGGGAGGAGCAGAAGCATTCTGGGAATGGAATGAAGACCCCCAGAGTGGAATTCCATTCCCAAAACACTGTTGTTACTCCTAGGGGCTGTCTTTCCATTCTGCGCCCTGTCATTCCAGA